GTGCATGTATGTACATGCATTGTGTATACATCACTGTATACAATTGCATACAAGAAGTAGACACTTGGGTGAAAAAAAAATTGTTTAAAGCCAGGCGCCTGTGGCTCATACTTATAATCCTAGCTACTCAGGAGGCTGAGATCTGAGGATTGTGGTTCAAAGCCAGCCCGAGCAAGAAAGTCTGTGAGACTCTTATCTCTAATAAACCACTAGAACACCAGAAATGGCACAGTGGCTCAAACGGTAGAGCACTCGCCTTGGGCTGAAGAGTGCAGGGACAGTGCCCAGGCCCAGAGTTCAAGCCTCACGACTGACAAAAAAAAAGTTTTCATACTGGTGTTTGAACTTGGGATCTTTAGTACTGAGTTATATCTCCAGCCCCTCTTTTTATTTTTACTTATTTATTTTGTTTTTGGTCTAGTACTGGGGCTTGAACTCAGGGCCTGGGTGCTGTATCTTAGTTTTTTGTCACTCAAGGCTAATGCTTGTAACCATCTGAGCCACAGCTTCACTCCCAGCTTCTTGGTGGTTGACTGGAGATAAAAGTCTCCTGAACTTGGGCTGGGAAGGTGGCTCAGTGGTAGAGTGCTTGCCTTGCATGCATGAGGCCCTGGGTTCGATTCCTCAATACCACATAAGCAGAAAAAACCTGGAAGTGGTAAAGTGCTAGCCTTGAGCTGAAGAGCTGAGGGACAGCGCCCAGGCCCAGAATTCAGGCCCCACAACCAACAACAACAACAAAAAAAAAAGAGAATTAAAAGTCTCCTGAACTTTCCTGCCTAGCTTGGCTTTGAACTGTGATCCTCAGATCTCAACCTCCTGAGTAGCTAGGATTTCAGGTGTGAGCCACAGATGTCCTGCTCATTTCAATCTTTTTTAGAGATTGCTTCATTTGGTGCCCTTTTTAGAGGTTATTTTATTCCAGGCCTTCACAAATAAGCTAGCTGTTGGTGCTGAAAGGTGACCCTGTATGCTGGTATGCATTATGATCATAGTATTTTTCCCACAAAGTCCAGGATAAGCTTCTGACACAGCAATCCTGTAATCCAACACGCCTCTCTCAGTGTAAAGAATGCTTTATAGACAGAATAGGGTATATGGTGGGAATCTGAGCTGCCTGACACTCTCTTTGGATATTTTGATTAGTAAGACCATGCACGCCAGCAGAGCAGGCTGGAAGTTCAGCCAAATGAAGTTAGTCCTCCACCCCCTAAATTCCCCCCAGGAAAACTAATGACATCCATCAGGCGGAAGTAAAAAGAGGAGCTCCAATGTCTTGTCTTTTCTTCTCCTTTCTTGTTGGTCATGGGGCTTCAATTCAGGGCCTGGGCACTGTCCCTAAGCTCTTTTGTTCAAGGCTGGTACTCTACCACTTTGAGCCACAGCTCCACTTCTGGTTTTCTTGTAGTTAATTGGAGATAAGAGTCTCACAGACTTTCCTGTCTGGGCTCCAGAAGTAGTGCTGTAGTGCTGTAGCTCAAGTGGTAAAGCGCTAGCCTTGAGTTAAAAGAGCAACAGAGCCTAGGCCCTGAGTTCAAACCCCATGACCAAAAAAAAAAAAAAGCCTCTCAGACTTTTCTGTCAGGCTGGCTTTGAACCACTATCCTCAGATCTCAGCCTCTTGAGTAGCTAGGATTATAGGCATGAGCCACTGGCACCCAGCTCAGGAAAAAAAAAAAAAAAAACAACTACTTTTCCTGAGGGCATACAGGGGTTGGAACTCTTGTTCTGTACCTGCAAGGCAGGCACTTTTACCACTGAAGCACGCCTCCAGCCCTGACTTGCTGGCGTGAACAATCTGTCTATTTTTGACTTCCCTTGTAGCTAAGAAAACAGGCATATGCCACAGTGTCCAGCCCTTCATTGAAAAGGGCCCCAATCTCTGTTCTCAGCCTCCCAAGGAGTCAAGATTTCATGTGAGCCACCAGATCATTAAAAAAAAAAAATGTTTTAGAGATGCCCCTCCCACGAAGTAAAGCATTTGCTTATTTAACTTGTCCATTAGATAATTCATCACTATATATTACAAACTGATGAGGACCTGGAGCTGAGAATTCCCGAATATACAGATACAGTCTTCTGCCTTGTGCCCGCTCCAGTCCACACCCAAGGAAAACACCTACAGGCCTTTCCTTCCTCTTGGACCTCTTCTGAATTCTTCTAGTATCTTCAGTAGTAGGCTCTTAGAAATCCTTCAGAGAAATCAGTCTTTTACCACACACAGGTCAAAAGCATTGGCTGTGCTACTGTATCTGTCAGTCTGGTTTGACAAGACTGTAGAAAGGGATACAGAATGAGGTAGCTTCTTACAGATCATACATGTGGTCAGTACAGAACTCTGGGCTCCACAATCACCTCACAAACACGCATGCACATCACAACCCCTAGGCTTCCAGAGAACACTCTTCCTAAACATAAAATAAGTTTAAAACTTGCAATTCACGTATGAATTTTCTTATTTTGTTGTAAATTCAGCTTTCCATGTCTCATATATGCACCTTTTTTGTCTTTTTTAAAATTTTAGTTTTAACTGGAGGTCACTTTTAATATTAATTATTTTTTTAATAATGTTTCTTGGAAGTGGCGCTGTAGCTCAAGCAGTAGAGCACTCACCTTGGCTGAAGAGCGCAGGGACAGCACCCAAGCCCAGAGTTCAGGCCCCATGACCAACAAAATAATAATAATAATAATAATGTTTCTTTTTCTTTCTTGTTTTGAGACAGGGTCTCACTATGTAGTCCAGGCTGACCTTGAATTTAGGACCCTCCCAAGTGCTGGGATTACAAATATATAAGACTATGCCTGGCTTTAAAAATATTTTCTAGGGGCTGGGAAGGTGGCTCAGTGGTAGAGTGCTTGCCTTGCGTGCATGAGGCCCTGGGTTCGATTCCCCAGCACCACATAAGAAAAATAAATAAATAAAAATATTTTCTAACCATACTGGGATTATCATTACAATGATAATAATGGTACCAAAGCACAAAAGATGGTAATTAAAAGGTGACCATAGCCATTTTTATGACATTGTCTACCTTTGGCAAAGGGCCTGTTGAGTGCTCATCCAACACACATATGTGATTTTAGTACCATGATAGTCTTCATTTGCTTCTCTAACTAATAAATCTCAATTCTATCAGGACCTGAGATCATAAGCCTGAATCCAGTTCCACTATCTGATCAGCGTGTGATTTTTCCTATATTATTCAGATCTATTGTCGAATCTCTTTGTTAGACTTGATGAAATCAAGGGCTTGTGGTTAACTGCTGTTAAACCTTATATTGAGACCCTATGGTAGTTAAAAGCCTCATCTGTATAGTTGCTATGGAAACGCTCCCTTTCATTTCCCTACAACCCCTTCTGTCCCTCTGCCTCCATGTGGCACTTTTCTGATGGTAGAAAAAAAAAGGCCTACACCTCTCTCCATGCTGTTTCCCAGATTCATATCTGCAAATGGTGGTTGGTGCTGAGGTGGGGTAGATAGAGTGGGACATTGTCTCCTGTGTTGTGTAGGGAGAGGCAACCAACCCCCACTTTCTTTTTGTTGTTGTCATTGTTGTTGGTCATGGGCTTGAACTCTGGGCCTGGGCGCTCTCCCTCAGCTCTTCAGCTCCAGGCCAGTGCTCTACCGTTTGAGTCTCAGCACCACTTCCGGTTTTCTAGTGATTTATTGGAGATAAGAGTCTCGTGGAGTTTCCTGCCTGGTCTGGCCTTGAACCGAGATTCTCAGATCTCAGCCTTCTGAGTAGCTAGGATTACAGGTGTAGCCACCGGCACCTGGCAAGCAACCCCATTTTCTTAATGTTTCAGTACTCTCATTTCCCATTCTCAGACACTGAAAGGATTATCAGAGCTGTAACTAAGTTGACTATAGAATGGACTGTCTGTTTTGCTATAACACAGGTTCCATGACAGGAACTTAACATACAAACACTATCCAGACAGTAATGTAGCTCGCTGGCAACCTTGCTGAGCTTTCTACTCTGTATCACCCCCAAAGTACAAGGCAAATGGGACAACAAGCAAGTGTGGCTGAAACCGTAGGGTAAAAGACAGCCCTTCTGTCTGCACATACATGGACAGAATGATTTGGTCTTCTAAGTCAAGGACAGTGAAGTGCCCAGCAAGTGGTAAAGACACGTCGAGGAATGAAATGGATTTTTTTTTTTCAAACATTTCTCTTCCTGCTTTAAGAATCCTTGGGTTTCGGTAGTAATTGTCTCCTACAGTTACCCATTTCACCCATGTCACATCACTTGTGGTGGGGCCAGCTCTTCCTGGGTTTTACTCAAGTCCCTCTTGCTGCAGTCTGAGCTCACTGCACTCAGCAGAGATGGATACAAGCCAACCACTATCTTTGGAATAACAACTCACCCGGGGACTTCAGGGCCGGAAGGTCATTCTGTCCCCTCCGATACTGCGCAGTCTTCCTGTGCACACTCAGGGCCTAGGGGACAAGGACAGAAAAACCCAGGATGGAGACAGGAGCCTGGCAGGCAGCAACCAAGGCGGGGGGGGGGGGAACCATTGTCGCTAGGGATGCACAGACACAGATGGAGACAACGATACAAACTTTGAGAGTGGGGGACGAGATCAAGATGGCTCCCCTCAGTTGGGGTGAGGCTGCGAAATTGCCAGAAGCTACTTGGGGACAACATCCTCCCTAACATCTCCTGACGCCAAAGCAATCGACTAGGCGGCCCCCACCTACCCCAGCTCTAGTCGGAATGGTAACTCCTCCTGGGGGGGGGGAAAGGGGGCTGAGTGGGGGGTACGTGAGGGGGGGTGACCCCACACACCGTCCCATACACCCCCCCCCCACGACGGGCGGAGCAAGACTGCAGAGCCGGAGCGAGCTCGCCCGCCCGCCCCTCCCAGCCCCGCCCTTGCGGCGCCTTTGCTCCGCCCCCCTGACAGCCAGCAGCCAATGAGCGGCTCTCACCGCCGGCCTTTAAGAACCGCGCGCACACTCTCTCTCTGCGGCGGATGCTTGCCGGCCTAGCACTCTGCCGAGGTTTCCATGGAGACCGAGGCCCGGCCGGCGCGGCCTCCCGACGTTGCCATGGAGACAACTCCAGGGCTGGGGCTCGCGGGGCCCCGCGCGCCGCTGCAGCCTCAGAACCCCGCGGAGCCGCCGTGTGAGGCCCGGGCGGCGGCGGCGGCACACTGGGATCCACGGAAACACTCTCTGCTCATCGTGATCGGCGACATCGGCACCGAGAGCCAGCTGCGGGCCGTGCGGGCCCACCTTGAACAAGGTGAGAGCCGCTGCCCTGCCTGCCTGCCTGCCTCCGCACCGCCGCCCGGAGCTCCGCCGCCATCTCCGCATCCCCCACCTCCCGGCGCGCGCTCCGGCCTCCTCCGCCCCCCAGCCCGCCCCTGTCACCTGCATCTTCGCCGCCACGTGTCCCGTGTCCTCCGGAGCCGCCCGGCAGCTCGCTGCCCGCACACCCGCGTGGTGTCCCGCATCTCCCCGAGGAGGAGGGGGAGCTCTTGGGCAAGCCCCTCTCCCCGCCCCGGGGGTCCCACATCCCCCCCCATCTCTGATCGCACCCCTCTCCCCGCCGCACTGTCTCGGGTGAGAGGTTCCAAAAGTCCTGATCATCCCCAGAAAGCGGCCCGAGTGTTCCTACCTCACAAGTTTCTTCTGGAAGGTCCCTGAATCAAACCCGGGGTGGGGGTGGGGGGCGCTTTCTGAACGCAGCAAACCAATCTCAGATCTCTGAATGCCAGAGAGGGAGAGAGAGAGAGAGGAGAGGAGAGAGAAGAGAGTGACCTTCGTAGCTACCAGCTCCTCATCTCAACTCCCTCCTCTGCCTGTGGCGCAGTGCTGCGGAGCCACCTGCGGGTGGAAAGCAAGCTGCAGAGGGGAGGCGAGGAAGGGGAAAGGGAAGGTGAATCTTATCTGTAAGGAGCCGGGAGGCAGCCCACGCTATCTGGAAATAGACACTTCGATGGCATTAGTTCAACCACAACTAGGTGGCCTTGCCAAAACAATAAAATTTAAAAAGCTACCTACAAACTTAATGATCAAGCTGAGTCTAAAGTCTGCTCTTTTCCTGATTGTAGCAAGGCCTTTTTTTTTTTTTTTAAATCAGGTTAGGAGATGGCGGCTAGCCCCTCTTATCAGGGAGAGTGATGGCAGCTATCCTTATCCCCTCCCTTTCCTCCCTCTCCCTCCCCTGGGTGCTTGCTGCAATCCTACTCCCTGAGTTTATCTAGAACCTTTTCTTTCTGTTTACTTTCACAGGGATTCTGTCCTGGAATATTGACGTATCATCCTTTGACTTGAACCAACAGTTGAGACTCTTCATTACCCGGCACCTAGCTCACTTCTCTTCAGAGGTCAAAGGTTAGGACTAGTGTCATTTATCTCAGTCCTTTGGGTGAGGGCTGGTCACAGAAGAGCGAGGTCCAGTCTCCCTGGCAGAACTGGCCATGTAGGAGGTTTGGGTGGGGGAAGAAGGTGGGGACTCCTAACGAGAAAGTGGCAGGGCTTCATAGCTATCCGCACATACCAAGTACACTGCAGACCCATGACAAGATGGTGGAGAGAGCCCGGTCAACATAACATCTCCAAAAGGGTTGGTTGAGGACAGCAGTTGCCAAGAACCAAGGAAATAAGGTACTCCTCTTGAGCCATTAACCACGACTCATGCACAAATCTACTTTTTTGTTTGTGTTCTCCTGTGTACATGCCCCAGCCTCCCCTGCTCTACAGAGCTCCCAGAACATCCCACTCACCTTCTCAGGCCCTTTCTTTATATAGCCCACCCTTCAGGATTTGGGGTTTGTGTTTCCTCCTTTGGCTTAGCCAACCGATCTCTAGAACAGAGCAGAATTCTGGTACCAAAGGCTGATGAACACCATCATCATGAGGTCAGAAGGAAGGCGGGGCTTCTGGATTTGACTGCTACAAAGAGCTAATTAACACTCCAAGATCAAAGCTCCCAGAATACAAGTTCCCATCCTGCTGTCTGGAAAAAAAAAAAAGAAAGAAAGGGTTAGAAACTTGAGGTAAGATTTTAGGAACTATCATTCCATGACAGATACCTGTGAGAGAGTGCAGAAGGTCCTGTACCAGTGAGTTAAAAAGAAGTGCTAAATATCTGGTTATGTTATTGAGAAGTGATAACACAGCGATCCATGCAGCCCAGGCTAGACTCGAACTTCCAGTCCTCTCATCTTTGCTTCCCAAGTGTCGAGATTATAGTCATGGAACTGCCATGCCTGGCTTCCATGACAGCTTTATGGAATAGAAAATCTGTGCAGCTCAATAATCATTGCCACCCAATAACTGAACTCATAGATGATAATTCTCAATTGTCCACATCTCTAGTTATTTCCTGATCACTGATTGCTCCACATACGCTACTAGAAAGTTGGAGAGAGCAAGGTTAATATGACTAAGGCTTCATTATCCTAGGAACATGTGCAACAATTTAAAAAACATGAGGCTAGCATCTTCTTGTAACGGCAGCCACTCACTCGTCTGTGATTGCTTTCTGTTTAGAATTATTCATGTCATGACATCTTCCATTATTCGCAATGACCGAAAACCAACAATTTTACCACTTGTTCCTAGAAGCTTTATTATTTGACTAGATAAGGAGATGACAGAGAATGGAATGAATGAAGTTTGAGGATTATCTACTAATATTGATAATTCACACTGAATTTTCTAACCCTGTCTTTTGAACATAGAGATGAGAGTAGGCTGTTTTCTGGAACAATATAAGAAACAAGCAGAGCCTGGCACCAGTGGCTTACACCTGAGCTTACAGGCTGAGATCTGAGGATCAAGGTTCAAAGCCAGCCCAGGCAAGAAAGTCCCCAAGACCCTTATCTCCAATAAACCACCAGAAAACCAGAAGTGGCACTGTGGCTCAAAGTGGTAGAGTGCTAGCCTTGAGCAAAAGCACTCAGGGGCAGTACCTAGGCCCTGAGTTCAAGCCCCATGACCACCAACAACAAAAAAAAAAAAAAAAGAAAGAAAGAAAAGGGAAGAACACAAACCAAAGTGCCTAGCCATTCTTCAGATGCTTGGCATAATAATTCGGAAGCACTGAAGCACTTCTCAGAAACAAGCACAGTTAAAGAAACACCTACTAAGCCTTTTCAAAGAGTTTTGCTATAATATCTCAAAGGGCTTAGAACACATATCCAAACATCAGTATGCTTGTGTCAGCATACTGATTTCACACACACACACACACACACACACACACACACACACACACAGAGAGCTCAAGACAGCCACAGCCACACCCTGGCTGGCTCCTCTTTCAGCTGTCCCCACAAACAACAGTCTGGCCCAGAGCAGCTGCAGACACTGCCCCTCCCTTCAGCCTCTACTGAATGAAGTGGCACAGGGAATCCAGCTTCTAGAATGGGCTCAAAGAGCTAGGCTAGTAGTACTTCTGCCTACTCCCATAGGCCAGACCACCATTCCCCTTACCTCTCCCCTCCATGGTGGGCGCGTGATGAGAAAGGAGACAGAAATGTATCCTACAATGTTACAGGAGGAGTGCAATTACTCCTAGGCTCCGCCCCCTCCACATTCACCCTCTCAGACAGACACAGAAAAGAAGGGACCCTCTACCCTCTGATCGACAGTTGGTAGCCCAGCTCCTTCTAGTGGTCAAGTATGGTAAATAAAATAAAATAAAATAAAAATAAAAACAAACCAAAATACAAAACCTTTCAAAGGTGGCTTTTGTGCCAGGTAATCTCCAGCAGGGTGTTGGGATCTTCCTTTATAATTCCTGAAAGAAAAATCTGGAGCTTCTTAGCATTCTAAAACAATCCTAACAACAATTAGTCCTGCAGAAGACCAGTCTTCTGGCCTGGGTGTTGACAAAAAAGATGCTCAGTGGTAGAGCACCTTTTTGGTATGCATAGGTCCCTGAGTTCACCCTGGTAGCACAAAAAGCAAAGAGAAAGAAAACAGTGTCAATACATTTTGTTGTACTATTGAGCACCTATAGAAAAAGGGTAACTGGGGCTGGGAAGGTGGCTCAGTGGTAGAGTGCTTGCCTCGCATGCATGAGGCCCTGGGTTCGATTCCTCAGCACCACATAAGCAGAAAAAGCCAAAAGTGGTGCTGTGGCTCAAGTGGTAGAGCACTAGCCTTGAGCTGAATTGCTGAGAGACAGCGCCCAGGCCCAGAGTTCAGGCCCCACGACCGAGGGAAAAAGAAAAGAAAAAGAACTGCTAGTCTAAGGCTAGCAGACTGAGGAATCCATTTGTGGCTCTCAGTGTCTCACTCTCTATTCTCACTGATAGTCACCAAAGGTATTGTCCTGTTACTTCTGTCCACATGAAAGCCATCAGAATTCAGGGGTCTATGTTGCTGTCTGAAATGAGAGGGCAGGGACATTAATAGAAATTCCCAAGTCTCATCCTGCTGATATTTTCAGCTCTAGGTTTACTGGGAAACTGGTCCTCCAGGGTTAGTTGATATGTGAGTGTGTGTGTGTGTGTGTGTGTGTGTGTGTTGTGTGTGCACTTATGTGCATGTATATAACTTGAACACAGGGCCTGATGAGCTTTTCTCCAGGCTAGTGCTCTCCCACTTCTTTTTTTTTGGCAGTTAATTGGAGATGAGTTTCATGAACTTTCCTGCCTAGGCTGACTTTGAATTGCAATCCCTAGCTGTCAGTTTCCTGAGCAGCTAGGATTAGAGGCATGAGCCACCAGTGCCTGGCCCTAGTTTAGATTGTGTGATCATCTAGGTTGCTGCTCAGAAATCTTTCACAAAAGGAAGAAAGTTCTCGTGGCATTTGTATCTCACAGGTTTAGGATTCTAGGAATAGAGAAGAATTTTTGCATCTTTGTTGTTAGTCAATCCTCATGGTATGTGGGGTAGATGGGATGTTATACTCATAGTTCACGAAACAAGCTTCCAGAGAGATTAAGTGGTTTTTGGTTTTGTTTTTTGGTCAGAGTGACTAGTAAAATGGAGGAGTCAGATCTCCAGTCTGGGGCTTCTGATCTCACTTTGTGTCTGAGCTCAGGCCTCGCCTCTATTTCATTGCTGCAGAGACTAGGGAACACTATGCGTTGAGGGTCAGTTGTCATGATTGGCTGCTCAGAGGGTGAAGGCTGACGAAAAACCTCACGGTGATTTGCAACTATGTCCAAGGTGTGGCCCTAGAAGGTGGCAGCCAGAAGCATGGGTGGACTCTGCACTTGGCTAAAAACGTTATTTTATTCTCAAGCCAAAAGTCTGCTCAGGTTTCCCTCCCTCCACTCTCCAAAGCCCTAGAAAGCAGAGAGGCGATAGAAGGTTTGAGGCGGGAGGGAGTTAAGAACCAAAAAGTTGTAAAAGGAAAGTACTTCACTTTTTGTGATGCTCGGAATTCAGCCTGGCTTGTATCGCGTGTCTCTGCAGATGGCCTCTTCTTTCCAAACGGGTCTGTTGCCAGGTGGCTGCTTTGCATCCCCGGATCTGAGCAAGAATTCCTCCCTCTGTCCCCCAGGAGTATGGGTGACTCAGCTCTTCTCCTCTGGCTGCAGTTAAGGAAGGATGGGGATGCTGAGAGCAGAGACTATTTTGGCTTCTCTGACCTTCAAGAACTGCTCTTGGCAGCCGGGGGCAAGGGTGGGGCTGGTGTGTGGGGCTGCGCGGGTGGAAGTCTCCATGCAGTGGTCGGAGGAGGAGGCGGCGGCCAGGGCTGGTGAGGGTTAATGGGGAGAAGGCAGGGTATGAATGCGAGAGTACCACCCATTGGAAGTGAGTGCTGCTGGAGCACTCTCCAGATTCTTCCATTGAGTTCTGGAAACACTTCATTAAATCGGAGTCAGAGGGAGAGACTAAAGGACACAGACACAACATTAGAAGGATCAAGAGAATATGACCCAGGCAGCAAAGAGGCACAGAAAGGTAGAGACAAGAAGAGGTCAGGAATCCAGCTACTCTATAAAGTCATGTTAATAACAATAATAATAGTAACAATAATGATTGGTCTATAGTTAGAGAGCCTTGCCTGAGCTTGGGGTGCTGATAATATTCCCTGGTCCTCCTTAACGCCTTCACTGAAAGGCAGAAACCCTTCCTTGCCCCTTGGAAGTCTGCATCCTCACACCCAGTGACTCAAGAATCCCAAGCTCCAGTGCCTGTAAGGATGCTCGCTGTACTGTACTGCATTGGTGCAGACCCGCACCCACTTCTCAGGGTCCTGGTACCCCACCCATCCCAACGGGCTGGGGGCAGTACCCACCCCACCACCATCTCAAACTACCCCCAACCCTAACATGAGACTTATTCCTGCCTTTCCCTTGTGTTTCCCAAAGTGCATCTCTCATCTCCCTGCCCCCCCCCCCCGCACCCCCTATTTTCCAGTCCCCAGT